ACTCTTGTTTTGAAACAGCTTACCAAAGCTCCTTTTGAGCCATTAGCGACAACTGACTTAAGACTCCTCACCTTTAAAACAGCTTTTCTTGTAGCCATCACCTCAGCTCGACGAGCTAGTAAATTGGCAGCTTTACGCTATGACTACCCTTATCTACAATTTTTCCCTGATAAGGTGAAGTTATTCATGGACATTTCCTTCCTCCCCAAAATTGTCTCTCAATTTCATCTTTCCCAGCTGATTGTCCTTCCTTCATTTTTTCCGTCACCTTCGTCGTCAAACCACTCTGCTCTCCTGTCCTCTGAAGATGCCGGCCACAGAGTCTGGCAAAACGTTAGGAAGAACAACCTTCAGAACACGGCCAAAGAGCATTAGATCCTGGCCATGAAAGCCTTCGTGAATACCTCTATCATTCATTTGGCTTATCAACTTTCTCAACAACCAGCCTCTAGAGTGGTTCGCCGTCGCTCCACCAGGGCAGTGGCAGCCTCTACAGCCTTTCTCCGCAACATACCTCTTCCGGACATCTGCGCCTCTGTCACTTGGGCACAGCCGTCCACGTTATCCTTCATTATAGACTCAACCTCCGGCAGAAGTCTGATGCGGCATTTGGATGTGCTGTTCTAGCCTCTACCTTGGCATGACACCCTGCCTCTGGGTAAGACAGCTTATTAGTCACCCAGCGTGTGATTCACAGAGGCCACGAAGAAGAACCACAGGTTACCCACCTGTAATTGTAGTTCTTTGAGTGGACCTTTGCGATTCACACATCCCGCCCATCCTCCCCTCTGTCATGCCATTGTTTGTTTATTATTATTAAGCGGCGGTTGACACAACTCAATTGAAAGGGGATGCCTGGTGCCAAGGTACTTATACGGATGGGGAGGGGCATATTCTAATGTGTTTATTGCTGCCACAGAAGCTCTAGAATCTTCCAATGAGGCTCCGCGCGGGCATGAATCACCCAGGGTGTGAATCACAGAGGTCCACTTGAAGAACTGCAATTACAGGTGGGTAACCTGTCGATTTTGATTATAGCACATGTCATTATGAACCTTTAAATAACATTGAGCAGGGAGTTGGAGTCGATGACCTTATAAATCCCTTCAAACTCCATTATTCTATAAGTCTGTAATCTTTTCTAAGTACAAAGTGCTAATCACTCACAATGAAGCATGGCTTCCAAACAAGTTATTACAAAACAAGTGTAACTTGATTAACATGTTGTCATGAATTAAAATTGGTTCCTCAGAGGGCTTTCAGTTTAGCAGCACTATTTGTAGCCAACATTATACAGGATGGAATCCTGTTGGTGCAGCTCTGTGTGCAGAAAGCTGATGATGTCAACAGGTGTGGACTTTTATCTTCATTTAAAAGTTTCCTATTTCCCCACCCCAGATTCTGAGGTACCCTATGGATCTCTTTTAACCCGGGAAAGGCTTTAATGTCTGAAAATAATCACAATTGATTTTCTCATCTCAGAGGCTCCCCCATTGAGGACTGAAAAGGGATATCTATGGATTCTTGGAATTGAGTCAGGGTGTAAAAAAGCAATTAAAGAAAAAAAGTTGTGCTGGTGACATCATCTGCTTCATGTGTTTGGAGCTGTGTAAATAGGATTCGAGCCACTATCATTTTTCCCAATTTAAGTATTTATTTGCAAAAAGATTAAAATTGTATTAAAAACCCACAAAATATCAGTTATATTTCTGTTCAGCAATTGATATATTGAATAGTAGCTAAAAAGTCTTCAATTATTTTTAGTGTCTAGGCTTGTATACACAATTCTTTGTTCAGTATGTCAACTAACCCTACAGTGGTGCCCCACATAGCGACGTTAATCCGTTCCGGATTAATCATCGCTATCTGGAAAGATCGCTAAACGGAACTGAAAGCCCCATAGGAATGCATTAAACTTGGTTTAATGCGTTCCTATGGGGCGAAAACTCACCGTTCAGCGAAGATCCTCCATTGCGCCGCCATTTTCGCCGCCTTGGTAAGCGAGGAAACCACGCGAAAATGCTCGTGGTGGCCATTTTGGGCACCTGGTGGCCATTTTGGAACCGCCGATCAGCTGTTCTAAAAACATCGCAATGTGAAGATCGGTAAGTGAAACGCTTACCGATCATCACAATGCGATGTTTTCCCATTCAAAACATCGCAATGCGATCGCATTAGCGATCACACAAAATAGATCGCTATGCGGATTCGTTGTTAAACGGTGCGTTCGTTATGCGAGGCACCACTGTACTCTTAATTTCATTGAACTCTTTCTGTTATTTATTACAATCTTTCGAAGGGCCTCTAGACTGGCTTATTGTCTTTAAAAATCACTGTAGTGGTCCTGCCCTCCAGTAATCTGGCTGGTAATACTGCATGCTTTTATAAATGTTGTATGAATCAGGGTGTAACCCAAACATCAAACCATCTGGTTAGGCAGAAAGTAAGAGACAGAGGAATGAGGAATTGTAACATGTCCAAGGCTGAAAACACGATTGAAGGAGAGTGAGAATAGTGATAGCTGCCAATGCTGTTCTTTTGATCCAGTTTTGCATGTTTACGTTCTGCTTGGCAGGCTTGTTTTCTCATGCGAACCCTGTGGTGGCTGCAGTAATTTTTCTGAGCTGATGCTGCAGTGTCCATCCCATTGGATAAATAAAGAGTTTGGCAAACTACCTTTTTGCACTAAAACTTCTAGAATTTCCCAGCCATCATGGATTATTCAATGTGATGCAAATAAGTTGGACATTGGATGGATATCTGTCTGTCTACTTACCTATCTTTATATTTCTTTTTAAACCAATTCTGCCGTGATCAAGAAGCAGAAAAAAGGCCAAAATCTTGCATCTTTCATTTTTATAGGTGGAAGCAGACCTTCAAAACACATAGTTCCAAGCTGTTTATGACTTTAAAGCACTTTAAATTGTACCTAGAAACATATTACAATGGCCACAGCTAGGAGAATGTCAGTGCTACATGCATAGAGCACCTATTTCCAATACATTCGTGCCCCGCTTTATGATTACCCCGTTTAACGATGAATCCGCTTGACAGTGAGGTTTTTGCGATCACTTTTGTGACCACAAAACGATGTTTTGAATGGGGTTTTCCCTCTGTGTAATGATTGGTTCCCTGCTTCGGGAACCGATTCTTCGCATTACGATGATCAAAATAGCTGATCGTCGGGTTTTCAGAATGGCCACCGGGTGCTTAAAATGGCTCCCCGCTGTGTTTTTGGATGGATTTCTCGCTCCACAGGCATGGAAAATGGCTGCCCAATGGAGGATCTTCGCTGGATGGTGAGTTTTCAGCCCGTTGGAACACATTGAACGGTTTGCAGTGCATTTCAATGGGATTTTTTATTTTGCTCTACGACGTTTTTGCTCTACAGCACTTTCGCTGGAACGAATTAATGTTGTCAAGCGAGGCACCACTGTATTTATCTGGGCACCTGCATTCTGTACTGACTGAAACTTTCAAATTCCATGTGAAGTCTGGTGTCTGTAGGAATTTTTTGAGCAGGAGGGAAACTGCATAATTTTCTTATATAGCACATGACAGTTCAACATAATGCAACTGTCTATGCATATCAAAATAATAAATGCATTCAGGATACCTTGTAGGAGAAGCATCCCCATTGCCCCCTGAAGATAGTTGTGAGCCTAGTCTGGATCTAAGCAGAACATGGATGGCTACATATACCAAGATTTGCTTCTTCACATATGGATGCAGTTGCTGATGATAAAATGCATCCTATGTGTCTCTAGAGGCATAGCCCTGAGAGCAATCAAGCTGTGAAATTGGTCTTTCAGGGGAGTGCAGCCCCACCTAGCAGGAGCCCCATCTAGCATGCTTTCTCCATCAAGATCAGCAGGTTTCCCATATCTAGCTCTTTTTTCTTAGGTTTAAGTCTCAGCATGTTTGTCCTCATCCTCTCCAAACTGCCTTCAGTCTGAAGTTAATGGGTAGCTTTATCAGTTCAGCAACAATCTGTCACTGAATTACGGTCTGAGAAGAAAACAGAATGAACTCTGTAATAGTTTTGTGTCACCCATATATTTCCCTTCTCACCATGAGCTTAGGACATGAAGACTTGCCATCTTCCTCTCAGTTGTTCACATCTGTGTGGAATGGACTTTTATTAATTGATTGATTGATCTTGTTCCCCACCTTGTTTACTCGGTGGCTACAGAAGAAATAAACACAGGTGCACAAACATAGCAATTAAAAGGATAAGCATACAAAACCAAAACCCACTCAACCCCAGTGTCTAACAAATTTTAGAAGCAATATTTCTTACCCGTGGTTTTCTTATGAAGATTAGCTTGTCTTCTTCTATTCAGGAAAACCGGCCATTTAAATTATTTATTATCTTCTGTTATCCTGAAGTACATTGTATGTGGTGTTGTTTTATGCAAAACTAGTATTTTTGACAAAAAAAATTTACTCGGCAGTCCTTGATTTGTTATGGTAATAATATTAGTGAGTTAGTTCGCTGAATTCCTGGAGAAGTATACCTAGAACCACAGCCTTAGAGTAATAGTCAATTGGACTGTTTTAACTTCAATGCACTCAGTATAATACACTATAGTTTATTTAAAATATAGCTTATTAAACTGAGAAAGACCATCACATCGAAATATTTCTCTCTGACTCCTCTGCTTTGCATGTCATCTTTTAGGCTCCTTTCTTGATCTCTTTAAATAGGAACTGCCTGTTCCATCCAAGTCAGGAGTCTGTGGTTTAATGTTGGGTTACTAATGTTGGATTACTAATCTGATTTAGATTATACTACATGCAGAAGGATCTACTGCATAAATTAAGCACAATTATGTACAAAATAATGTAAACAATGTAAATTGTTCAAACTTGCACAACTTTGCATTATGCAGTTTTGTTTTATTGACTTGTAAGGTTTAAAAGGAGTGGATGAGTTATTTACATCCTTTTTTTTAAAAAAAGCCACTGCTTATTCTATGTGCATACTTTGTTTCTTCAAGGGAAAGGCCTAACTGTTTGGAGCACCATCAGATAGTTCTATTGAGAACTGGAAGACTCCCTTGGGCATCTATAACATCCTACTGTCTAACTAGGTGAGAAATACAATACGCCTACATTCAGTTTTTTAAATACGGACCAGATCTTTCTCATTTTGTCAAATGAATAATACACCTACATTGGTGATCAGCAGTTGGCCTTCTACTGAACCTTGCTGAGTGCCCACTTATGCCAAATGTGGTATAAATAATTTTATACCACTTTATTTATTTATCACTATCACTATCTTAAAAGTTAACTGTTCTGGTGCACCATAAAATCATGTTCTATAATGTTTGATTTATGGAAGTTATCTGAGAAGAATACTGACAAAGTACAGATTGTTTGAACATAATACACTACTGTAATTATGAAATTTTACAGGCACATATAGCCAGTGAAAACTCATAGCTAACTTGTTTTATATCATGCTTTCTTTAGGAAAACATGGGTCCTTTGCAGATGTAGGTTTCATGCACAGGTCCCATCTTTAGTTTGTTTATTGGAATATGTTGCAATATTCCTAAATTGTGAATCCTAAATTGTGAAAACTGGACTGGTTTACTGACTGTAATGATGATACTAGTCAGGCAAGAAGGACTTACTTACTTGATGTTGGACTATATACAGCTAGTGTCTCAGGTAAATATCTCTTGTCCAGAATTTATTTACTGTTAGTAGACTAGTGCAGCACTTTCCTGTGATCTGTTCTAGAATCTTGAAATGATATCTATTGGCAAAGTCACATAGATGAAGATAGACTTCCGTTGTGATGCATTATAGTGCTTGCATCAGATATCTTGAGAGAACGTATAGGCCAATTCTTCTTCTAGTGCAAAGTTTTGAAGAATAGAATTAAATGACAATTCTCTTAAAAGTGTAAATGAAAATGACGTTCTTGTTTTGGGAACTGAATTTCCTAGTACAGTATTCATTAAAATTAATTCTACCTCCTATTAATATAGATTGTATAAAATAGAGGCTGCTACATTAATGCAATTTGTTGCTGTAAAGCTAGTCTACCTTTACAGCAAATGTAATTGGTTTGAGATAAATTGCTAGTTTTTAATTTTGTGGATAATGTGAAACTTGTTAATATAAATAACTTTTTGAAGAGCAATATGTAATGTTAATGACTTGGGAAGCACCTGTCCCTTAAGTAGTGACTCAGTAATTAGTTCCCCAGGTTTTACTTTTCTTCTGACATACAGTGGTGCCTCGAATAGTGAGCACCTCTATTAACGAAAAAACCGAATAGTGGTTTGTTTTTTGGGGAATTTGTTTGCTTTGAAGAACTCAAACAATACTCAAGACCTACAGTGGTCCATTTTAGAAAATTAATGTCACTTTTCTTCCAAAAGGGAGAATGTTTTTCAAAATCTTCTTTGGGAAATGCACATCTGTTAAAAACCTGTTTATACAAATAGGCCATATACTCTATACTGCTTCTGTGTAGAGTGTTGCCCCAGATTAATTAATCCGTTCCAGATTAACCTTCGCTATGGGGAAACATCGTTAAGCAGAACGGGGAAACCCATTGGAATGCTTTAAACTTCGTTTAATGCATTCCAAATGGGCCCAAAACTCACCGTTCTACAATGTTTCCCCATGTTCCGGCGGCCATTTTGGGTGTCCCGGCAGCCATTTTTGTCTTCCGGCGGCTATTTTGAGTGTACCGGTGGCCATTTTGGGTGTCCCGGCGGCTATTTTGAGTGTACCGGTGGCCATTTTTGGTGTTCCGGTGGCCATTTTGGGTGTCCGGCAGCCATTTTAGAACCGCCGAACAGCTGTTCCCCCATCGCAATGCAAGCATGCCCTCGCATTAGCGATGGGGAAATCTGCATCGCAATGCGGATTCATCGTTAAACGGTGCGCTTGTTATGCGAGGCACCACTGTATTTAGATTTCAGATTGCGGTACCATTTAGAACTAATCTATCTGAAGAAATCCTGGGACATAGACCTTAGATCAAGAGTGGCTCTCTAGACCAAAATGTGGCTCTCCAGACAGTGTTGCTGGAGTGCAACTCCTATCATTCACGACTACTGGCTATGCTGACAATGGTTAATGGGGGTTGCAGTAAAACAGTATCTGGAGGGCCACACTTTACCTACCCTTCTGTAGATACTTGCTTATTGTTTGTAAAGCTTACTTTTCCTTCTTGGATGTGTGATGTACTGTGGTGAGAAAGTTTAAGCCAAATGCAATAAAGTGTCTAAATTAAAGCTGTTGTACTTTTGATGCATCATAGGAGTACAGAACTTTCTGGCAAGCAGTGAGGTTAGGAAAAGTAAACAGCATCAGGAAGAGAGGAAGACCAAATGTAAAATAGGTTAACTCAGAAAAACAAAAACAAAAACTATAGTCTTTAATTTGAAAGACCTGAACATTCATAAGTTGGAAGGAACTTGATGGCATATAGTAACAAAGCTTGCTTATGAAATGAATGATGAGAATTACAATATAGTTCTTTAGTAAATGTAGTTTGGGGAAGGTCTAATGTTGTTGGGCATTTACATTTTATCTCTGGACATCTGACTACAGTTCTAACAAAATGGCTCCCAATTTAACAACAGTGAAATAATCCAGTAAGAATTGCATTTTTGGATGTGGGAAAAAAGCAAAACTAAGGTATTTGTCTATACAGTGGTGCCTCGCTTAGCGAGGATAATCCGTTCCGGATTAACCCTCGCTCAGCGAATCCATCGTTAAGTGAAATAAAAAAGCCCATAGGAATGTATAAAAATGATTTAATACGTTCCTATGGGCTTAAAACTCACCGTTCTGCGAGTTTTCTCCATTGCGGTGGCCATTTTGGATGCCTCGTTAGCGAGGCAAAACAGCGGTCGCCATTTTGTTTTAGCGGCGGCCATTTTGGAACCGCCGATCAGCTGTTCGCTATGCTTTGATCGCATCCGTGCAATCATCGCATAGCGAAAAAAGCCCATGGGGCCATCGCTGAGCGAACGCTCCAGCGATGGCCCGGGACCCATCGTTGTGCGGTTTCATCGCATAGCGAAGCGCTCGCTATGCGAGGCACCACTGTATATATCAGACATGTTGAGCTCTTAGATCTTTAAGGCTTGCTTTAATCCCTATGTGTTCGATAAGAAATGTAGTATTAGAGTACCGAACCAGATCTGCTGGGTTCAATACCCCCTTCCAAGGTATTCCATACAATCAAAAATAGAGTTCTGGATATTGAGGGGCAAACCCTGCATAGTGCTGCACAAAGGGTCTGTTCCCCACTATATTTTCAGTTGCCCGTCTGTCTGTCTGTCTGTCTGTCTGTCTGTCTGTCTGTCTGTCTGTCTGTCTGTCTGTCTGTCTGTCTGTCTGTCTGTCTGTCTGTCTGTCTGTCTGTCTGTCTGTCTGTCTGTCTGTCTGTCTGTCTGTCTGTCTGTCTGTCTGTCTACACAACTGTCCCCCCCGCCCCATTTTGAGCAGACTTCTCATATTTAATAATTATAGAAAGAGGTAGTCTGTTCAATCCTCTTTGTCCTTGGAACAACTTTACCTGTTGAATCTGGCCAGTTCAGAATAGTAAAAACTATGTTTTGTTTTGTGGTTTTTTGTTTTGTTTTGTTTTGGTAAGAACTTGTAGAATACAAATTGCTACATAACTTTGACAGAAAAAATGTGAGACTTCTAAAAATTCAAATGAGGCAGAAGGCAAATCAAACAGATTTGTCCGTTCTGATCTAGGACCTCAAAAGCATGTACAGTGGTGCCTCGCATAACGAGCGCACCGTTGAACGATGAATCCGCATTGCGATGCGGATTTCCCCATCGCTAATGCGAGGGCATGCTCGCATTACAATGCAGGAACAGCTGTTCAGCAGTTCCAAAATGGCCACCAGAACACAAAAAATGGGTGCCGGTACACCCAAGATGGCCGCTGGGACTCTCAAAATGGCTGCCAGAACACAAAAAATGGTCGCCGGTACACCCAAGATGGTCGCCGGAACACAAAAAAATGGGTGCCGGTACACCCAAAATGGCCGCCGGGATGCTCAAAATGGCCACCGGTACACCCAAGATGGCTGCCAGAACGCAAAACTATGTACCCCACTATGCGGGGCACCACTGTACTGCAAAACAAAGATATGATTGTCGGCAGTACGTAATACCATGATAATGGAGGTGGGATTGTTTGGATTACAAATTTCTTGCTTTAATCCCTATGTGTTCGATAAGAAATGTAGTATTAGAGTACCGAACCAGATCTGCTGGGTTCAATACCCCCTTCCAAGGTATTCCACCTAGGACCTCAAAAGCATGTACTGCAAAACAAAGATATGATTGTCAGCAGTACGTAATACCATGATAATGGAGGTGGGATTGTTTGGATTACAAATTTCTATATTATTGGGAGGTATACACAGGAACAGGTGTTCGGCAGTTCCAAAATGGCCGCCAGACCACCCAAAATGGCCGCCGGAACACCAAAAATGGCCACCGGAACATGGGAAAACATCAGAGAACGGTGAGTTTTGGGCCCATTTGGAATGCATTAAACTTTGTTGGGTTTCCCCGTTCCGCTTAACGATGTTTTCCCATAGCGAAGGTTAATCCGGAACGGGGCACCACTGTACTGCAAAACAAAGATATGATTGTCAGCAGTACGTAATACCATGATAATGGAGGTGGGATTGTTTGGATTACAAATTTCTATATTATTGGGAGGTATACATTGCTATCTATCTATCCCATAGCAACCACTGCATAAAAGGAACCAAGTAACACAGTTTCTGCCTCTAAAGACAGAGTGCACTACAGTCTACAAATATGATGAGATGATTTGTCCTGACAATTAATAAATTACAAAAGCAGCCTTTCCATGGCAACCTGAAGTATCTAACAGAATTTAATCTGATTTTGTAAACAATAGATGCAGTAAAATTAATCTTCCTGTGCAGTATGGAAGATGGTTAAATCTGAGATTTGGTATCATACTGTATATTGAAAGCAGCTATTCCTTTGCTGATCGCACAAAGTACTTATTGGAATTCTTCCATTCTACATTTCCTCTTAGCTAAAATAAAGAGGGAAAACA